CAGAACCACCACAACTAACTGTCTCTTTAAAGACTGGAAGGCGCTCGGGACTTCAGCCCACCCCCCTCCATCTTACAGAGGTGGAAACAGGCACAGAGAGGCGATGGCTGGCCCACTAGGAGGACTGGGGACTGGCTGGAGATGCCAGGAAAGCCGGGTACACAGGCAGCAGCGCCTTGGAGGTGTCCAGCCTCATCCCTGGGCAGGAGACACTGACAGTGCCCAGTGGCCCACACGCCCTCCCAGGCTCTCCTCTGGGGCTGACACCTGCCCCCAGACCTCTCCCCAACTGGGTCTGCCCCCGTGCCCTCACCTACCCTCCCGCCCCGGGCACGGGCACCACGGACATGGCAGGAGACCACGGACAGGTGCAGGGGAGAGGAGCAGGTGCACACATATCCAGTCACCTGGCAAAACACCCAGGTGCCTGGGAGATTCGTGAACAAGGCAGGCTACCCACATAGACATGCACACAGACACACGCAGACACACAGTCACGCACACAGACACACAGACACCCACAAAGGAACACACAGACATGCACACAGACACACACACAGGCATGCACAGGCACGCACAGAGAAACACACGCAGGCACACGCAGACACAAACACAGACGCACACAAGCACGCATGCAGCCCTGACTCATGGGAGTGTCCAAGCAGAACTGGGCCCCACAGAGTCTCCAACAGCTGGTTTTCTGGGGACTGGCTTGCCAGCCCTTTCTTCTGAGGCACCTCCTGGAGGGCTTGACCCTCCAGGCTTCTGGTGAGCAGCTGAGTAAGCTGACCGTTGGTACCACGGGTGGGGGTGATGACATGGGGGCTTTCCTTGCGCCCCCAAGGCTACATCGGGGCCTGAGGCAAAGGAAGCAGCAGGACAAAGGTAGTATCTGGGCACTGCTCCTGCCTTTGCTGGGGCCACTCACACCAGGTATACCACGTTCTGCTTTGACCTGGAGCTACGAACACACTGCCTTGAAGCACTGCTTTATTTTCTTGGGGGCTTTCGGCCCCACATCTGTGCTGGAGGTTCCCTCCCTCAGCCTTGTCCAGTGGCCCCAGGAGCCAGCAGGGCAGCCAGCGCATCCGGAACAGACAGGGTTCTGGGCCCCAGGCTCAGCCGCAGAAGGCTGGCAACTGAGAGGTGAGGTGGGGCAAGGAGGCCATGAACCCATCCCGTCTGCCTCTCAGTTCACTTCCGACACTGTCAGGATTTTCTGTTCCTCTCTGTGCAGAAACTGGCCCTGGGAACCATTCTTCCTTGAGCTCCCACTCGTGTGGTCAGGCGTGAACCCAGGCCGGGCTGGCGCCCCATGCCTGATGTTGCAGGGCTATCCTGGGGGCAGGGCAGCCAGCAGGGGATGGGTATGGGGAACGCAGGTGCAGGGTTGGTCCCACTCTCCATCCGTGCCTCTCAGGTGACCCTCCCACTACATAGGAAAGAGGGCTTCATCAGACAGAGACACCCACAGCCAGCCCCTGCCCCAGAATCACCCCCAGGCTCTGCCTCCTCTGAGCCCCGCTGTAGACCTGCTTCTCTCGGCCCTGCAGGCACTGAAGGCAGAGAGCCTTCCCCGAGCTCGGATACTGCCTGTGCCCTGCAGGAAGGGGGGAAGTGGGAGCGTCAGGAGTGAGCCCCCACGCCCACACCAACAGCTCCCTGCTTCCTGCCTTGCCTCCACCAGCTTCTGGGGGGCACTTTGCCCTCCATGGCGCTTCCTGCCCTCTGCCGCCTCCCACTCAGGTGCCGGCATGCAGCCAGGACACAGTCCAGGCCTCCCTTCCCAGACCCCCTCCCAGAAGGCGTCCCTCCCCTTGCCTGGGCCGCACCTCCTCCCTGGTTCCCCTCTTCCACTTCTGCCTCAGCACCAGCCCATCCTGGGCTCAGGGCCTGTTGAAGGTGCCCCAGGTCCCGTCTGCGTCCCCGTCCCCCACCCCAGCACCTATGAACTGGGGAGAAGCAGCCCTTTCTGGCTGCCTCAGAGCTGGGTGTGTGCAGGTCCCGCTGTAGGAGACACTGCGTGGCCACCCTGCTTTGTCTCCAAATGCATCACAAAGGAATGAGAATATGTGGAACCCACACTAGAGATGGACGTGCCCATCACGTGCTCCACGGGCCTCTGGGAGAGCTTGCTGTGGACAGGGGAGCAACTGAGCAGGAAGGGGGCTGCTGGCAGAGGGGCCATCACAGGGGGTGTGGCTTTGTCCTCACAAAGCTTGGGTCTGAAGAACTAGCAGCTGGCTGGCCAGGCGCTGGCTCTAGGGGATGGAGGGGCTCAGGTGAAATGGGGTGGCTGGATGGGCCACTGTAGAGCTGGGGTACATGGGGCTCCCTATTTTCATGGCTTAGAATTCACAACAGCCAAGAGGAGGAAATTACCCAGATGTCCATCAGTAAACGTGGTCCCTCCACACAGTGGCTCTCACTTGGCCGTGGGAAGGAATGAAGCCCTGATGCTACGATACTCATGAGTCCAGGAAGAATGCTGCTCGGTGAAAGACACCCAACAAAAGGGTAGACACTGTACGACCCACCTCCGTAAAATACTCCCAACAGGCAAATCCAGAGACCGAGGCAGATTCGCTAGGGGCAGAGGCCAATGGTTACGTGCTTGGCTGCTGACCCAAAGGTTTCAGGGTCGAATCCACCCAGTGATACCTTGGAGGACAGGCCTGAGGACCTACTTTCATAAAATCAGCCCCTGAAAGCCCTGTGGGCTGGGAACCAAGGAGTCCACGACTGAGAGACCTGTGGGTCACAGATAACATCAGAGGTGAGCAAAACGCTCCTAGAATCAAATAAAATGAAACACAGGGTACCAAAACCGTCCGGACACAGCAAAAGCAGTGCTTAGGGGGAGACTGATGGCAATAAATGCCTGAAAAGGAGGAAACATCCACAGTCATTAGCTTCAACTGAAAATCTGAACAAACAGAAAAGGAAGAACAAAAGGAGTGAAAAGCGACCAGAAAATGGGGAACAATAAAGATGAGGTGGAAATGAATGAAACACAAGTGAACAGGGAGAGTCAGTAAGGCCAGGAGGCAGTTCTTGGAAAGGCTTAACAAGACAGACAGACCACTGGCCAGATGGACAAAATGCCAGGAGAGACCCAAAAGCAAGCTAAGAAGTGAAATTGGTAGCATCATAACTGATTCACCTCAGATAAAGATCAAAGCTGACCACAAGGGGACTGGTGCACCATAACCTTGAAAACCCAGATGAAATGGACAAGCTCCTAGAAACACACTACCTACCCAAACGAGCCCAAATGGGCCCATTACAAAAGGAGGAGTTAAAGAGGGCCTTCCAAAGCTGCCAACAACAACAAAACACCCCAGGAATATTCAGAGAAGATGTGACACCAATCATGCTGAATGTTCTAAAAAACACAAGAGAGGAAGAAACATCTCCACATTCCTATGAAGCCAGCCAACCCTGATACCTAACCAGGCAAAGACACCCAAAAAGAAAGAAAGAAAGAAAGAAAACTACAGGCCAATAGCCCTTATGAACATAGATGAAAGCATTTTCCCCAACATTTTAGCCAACAGACTTCAGCAACACACACACACACAAATGATACATCCTGATAAGGTGGGCTTCACACCAGGACTGCAAAGGTTGTTCAGCTTCAGAAAAGCAATGGACGTGATCCACCACATCAGTCACACAGAAGAAAAGAACCAATGATCAGATCAACTGATGCCAAAGAGGCATTCCACAAAATTCCACACCCTTTTCTGAGAAAAGCTCTCAGCAAAAAAGGAATAGAAGTGAAATTTCCCAACACAATTAAAAGCATCTATGCAAAACCAACAGCCAATGTTACACTCACCAGACATGGCTGAGAGCCTGCCCTTGGAGGATGGAATGAGACAAGGATGCTCATCATGACCTGTCTTATTCAACATTGAACTGGAAGTCCTAGCCAGAGCAGTAAGACAAGAAAGAGAAATAAAAGGTTTCCAGATCAGAGAGGAAGAAGTAAAACTATCTCTGTTTGCAAATGACACGATCCTGTACATAGAAGATGCTAAAGATTCCACAAGAAAACTGCTAGAATAATAGAAAAAAATGTAGCAACATTACAGTGTACAAGATCAACACACAAAATTCAGCCAGCTCCTCCACACTGACCAAGACTTCTCTGAAAAGTAAATCAAGAAAACAACACCATGCACAATACCCCCAAACTGATATGATACCTAGGAGTTAACCTAGCCGGGGACATAAAAGACTTATACGATGGGAATTTTAAAACACTACCACACGAGACTGGAAGAGACCTATGAAAATAGACAGCCATCCCATGTTCATGGATTGGAAGACTCAGATAGTGAAAGTACTCATCCTACCCAAAGTGATCTTCAACTACACTGCAATCCCAACACAAATGCCAACAGCATTCTTTACTGAAATGGACAAGCTAATGACCAGCTTCACAGGGAAAGGAAAGAAATGCTGAATAGCCAAAGGAGCGTCAGAGGCAAAGAACCAAGCAGGAAGACCAGAGATCCAGCCACACCATCCAGCCCTTGTGATGCTGTCAGACAGCCTGGTACCGGCTCAAAGACAGGCACGCAGACCCGTGGAGCAGAGTCGAGAGGGCAGAGCTAAACCCAGCCATCTGTGGACAAGTGATTTTCAATAAGGGGTCAAAGTCCACCAGGGAAGCAGAGACGATCTCTTTCATAAATGGTGCTGATAAAACTGGAAATCCACCAGCAGAAAAAGGAAGCAGGACTCACACATCACACTATACAAAAAATTAACTCAAAGTGGATCAAAGACCTAAATGTTAACCCTAAAACCACAAAATTCCTGGAGGAAAACTATGGACCTAATCTTTTGTAAAAATAGGACAATAAACATATCAACAAACACACAATAGAAGAAGACAAAATAAGAAAATGGAACCTCATAAAAATGAAAAAAACTTATGCTTATCAAACTACTTTAATGAAAGAGTAAACCACAACCTGCAGCCTGTGAAAAGCTTTGGAAATGACTTTCTGATAAGGGTCTGATTTCTAAAATCTAAAGGCAACCGCAACAACTCAACAATAAAAAGACAGAAAACCCAATCACAAATGGGCAAAGGACCTGAACAGAACCTTCACCAAAGGTACTCCTTAGACTTAACCAAACCCCTTCCAACACTGGTCTTCTGGATTTAGAAGCTCAGGACCAATCACAGTCTCATGGCACAACTCAGTCAACTGGCAACCTGTCCTAGTGATGTGAGTGGGGTCTGGGGTCTTAAAAGCTTGTGAGTGACCATCTGAACCACAGCTATGGGTCTCAGCCCACCAGGAGTGAAACAGTGAGAAGGTGACCAAAAGCTCACAGAAGAAACAAGTCTACACGAGCCACGGCCTCATCCACCCTGAGACTAGAAGAACTAGATGGTGCCCAGCCACCCCCACTGACCATCCTGACCACAGTCACGATAGTTGGTCCCAGATAGCATGGGGAAAAAGGTATGGAGCCAAGCTCAATTTCTTATTTTTTTTAAAAAAAGCCACCACATTGAGGAAGAAGAAGACATAGAGAGGTACATGGGAGATACAGACAACAAAGATGAACCTTTTGGCACATACAGTACTGCATTGTCAGTGAAGGCAAACAAGGGTATATGGGTGGATAGATGGGTAGACAGGCTGAACTATTGGTATGTCTATGAAGCAGGGTGTGTACCCAAGAGCATGTATAGGGTTGGCAGACAATGGCCCTATAAGTGTATTTGTAAGATCTGAGTTCCCAGGTATATAGTAGAGCTGACAAAGGGCAAGGTTGTAGTTCCTTCTTGGTCACAGTCAGCTGCTATCCAGAGGAAACAAGTAGTTGAGCTGTGGACTCAAGACCATAGTCACAGGGCACATCAAGCTCAACTGACATAACATACTACACAAAACATTGTTCCACCTCCTACTTTGGTGAGTAGCGACTGGGGTCTTAAAAGCTTGCAAGCAGCCATCTAGATGCAACAATGGGTCTCTCCTCATCCAGAGCAAAGAATAATGAAGAAAACCAAAGATTCACAGAAAGAATTAGTCCTAGCAACTAGTACACCATATGATCTGCAGCCTATAGGACTATGAGACCAGAAGAACTAGATGGTGCCCGGCTATCTCTGTCAACCACTCAGAGGGAGATCTATGGAGGAGATCCTGGATAGAGAGGGAGAACAATGTGGAATAAAACTCAAAATCATTTGGAAAAAAAAAGGGGGACCAGGTTTGCTGGTCTGATAGAGCATAGTGGAATCACTGAGACTATGGCCCCTAGCTGCCCTTCAGGTCTGGAATTTAATCCACACCTGTGTCTTCCAGACAAACAAAAGACAGGTGTAGGAGTTGAACATTTACCTGAGGTAGATACACTCCTTGGGGAGAACAATCATAGGAGAAAGAAGGGCTGTTTATGCACAGGGAGACAGCTCAGGGGACAGGGGTACATGGAGGGAAGGACACAGGGAAGAGGTAACTATGGGAAGGAAGTGGGAGGGGAGCTATTGCATTGTGGTGAATTGTAGTCAATGTCATGAGACAAAGTGTATGTGAACTGTTGTCAGGAAAGTGAATTTGCTCTGTA